AGAGAGAGAGAGAGAGAGAGAGAGAGAGAGAGAGAGAGAGAAAAGAGAGAGCGAGAGAGAGAGAGATTAAACTAATGTACAAAGAACACATAAAACACGCTTCAAAGCAGCTTGGATCGTTCTGATATGATTCGACGTTTATTTCGATTCTCGACGTCCCTTCTCGTATACGGACACATCAAAGGTAAAAACGCACTGTGCATTCAAGGTGAATCGAAGAAGGACGAAGGACAATATCGTTAACTGGCGCTTTAACATTAATTTCTCTTTTTATTTATTTTCTTTTTCTATATCTCTCGTCGAGTTTCAACTTTCGTAAAATTCGGTAGATTCGCATTTTATTAGTTACAAGTGCAATAAGTGGCCCTCCGAGGGCCTCGGTACACCGGGTATCCCAAAATTATGTTTCCGAGAAACCATGGATTCCCGAGGCGATTTGAAGCAACTTTTTCCTTTGCAGACATTTTCTACGACACACCGTTCACGAGTTATCAACGAATAAACAGCGACCAATGAGACGCGAGCACGGCTGGCGCCCCAGGCGGCCGGAGCCCGGTTGCGCCGATCGGCTCGGCCACCTAGCGTCGTGCCAGCGCCCTTCTAATTGGTCACTCTTTATTCGTCGATAACTCGTGAACGGTGCTTCGGAGAGAATTTCTGTAAAGGAAAAAGTTGCTTGAAATGACCTCCGGAACCCATCGGTGTCCCGGAAACGACACAATTCTCGGACACCCCGTATACCTTCGTATGTATTCACAGTATAGGAAGCAAACGTTTCAAGCGACTCTCAAACGAACAGCACGTATACATATACGATACGGACGTTACACTTAGTTGTTATTATTATTATTATTTAAATACGCGATAACAATAGTAACAATAAAATTTAAGTACATCGATCTCGTCTGAACCTCTCGCGACCGCTCGGTACACTCCGGGAAAATGTCGAACGATCTTCATCGTTGTCGAAGTTTCGCGGCAACGAATTCTCTATCAGCACAGAGACCTAATTAAGTACAAATTATCCGTCGCGGTCTCTGCACCGAGCTTCGCGTCCACTTTTCCTTCTGCGACCGACCTGCGCCGCGATTAGGCCAGCTCGCGTCCGTGGTACACTTTCGCGAGGCCGCCGTGGAAAACGCGCGCTCGATTTCAGTCGGTCGCGACTAATGCTTACGGTAACGCGCGTATTTGTTCGGCCGCCTAACGCGCGGTCACTGTCGATCTCTTGCCTGCAAATTACCGCGCGAAATCGATCAGGAATTCGCGGCGCGTAGCAGCAATTTCAGTGGCGGAAAATACGGTCGATTCTCGGTGCGAACAGAGCCCGATACGTTCTGGTTTGATTGTTGTCGTTAGTTCGGTCCCGGGTTAGTGTCAAGGATTCGTTTGATTCGTATGAAACCCCCTTTTGGTTCTCTTCCCTTAGATTAATCAGCTTAATATTCCAAGTAAATCCGAATATACTACGCTAAGGAAACGCTAAAGCTAAGTCTACGACGCCGGATCCTTTCCAGAGAAATGCAACGGCGCGGTGAATCATTGGTCTCCAAATAATTCCTTGAAATCGACGTCGTAAGTTCGTCGCGATTCACCGTACTTTTACATTTCTTCACCCTTTGCACTCGAATGGCCGCTTTAGAAGATAAATGTTATATTTTAACCGATATTTTTTATTCGGCTTGAGAAATTCGTGTTTACTGTCGCACGTCTGCGCAAACTATTCTTTTCAGTGACCGAATTTTAATGTTACAGCTTTCCAGTTTCTAAAATTGCAGCACAAGTATACAGGATGTCTGAAAGTTATCGTACGTCCGGAAAATTAGATTGCTGAGGCGATTCGAAGCAACTTTTTCCTTTACAGAAATGTTCTTCGAGGCACCGTTCTCGAGTTATTGGCGAATAAACGACGGCCAATGAGAGGCGCGATCGCGCGGCGCTAGGCGAGCGCGCCACCTCATTGGTCCGTGTTTATTCGTTGATATCTCGTGAACGGTGCGCCGGAGAAAATTTTTGTAAAGGAAAAAGTTGCTTCGAATGAACTCAGGAATCTCTAGTTTTCCGGACGATGATATACGATAATGTCGAAGTATAACAAAAAGAAAAAAAAGAACCGTGAACATCAGAAATAATTGCCAGAATGAACGTTCCAGTTGCCGCGCGAAAAAACAAGATCGAAGCGTTAACGCGCGAGCCGAATGAACCGATTTCTCGTTAAAAAAAATCTCGTTTCGGAAGAAAAAACAGCTCCGAGTGCGAAGAGTCGACGACTAATGGAAATAAATATATAAATTCGAACGTCGGGGCCGCGTGAAATGTGGAAAAGAACAATATTGGAATAACTTATCTTAGATCTACGGACTAAAAGATACAAGCTGAAAAGGATCGGCTAAATGAAACGGGTTCGACGATGGCTGAGTGGAGGATTAAATGTTTCTTTTTATCGTTTCAGGAGCTGCGCTTTCGTTTCGATCGCCGGCAAGGAATCTCTTTATTCGCTGGTGGGCGTCTGCTGTTCCTCCGTTGACTGCGGCTTCGTGTACAAAATCTCGGCGTACTCCGTCTTGTCCTCGTTCAGGCGGCGCGGGTTGCCGCCCTGTTGCTGCTGCGTCAGGTCCAATTCCGCGTAAACTATGCCAGTCTCGCCGGTCGACGGATTCGGCTTGTTTTCCGGCACGGCCGGCGACGTCTGCAGCTGTCAGAACGAAATCATTCGATTAAGGCACTCGCTGCTCCCATTAAACGGCTTTTTTGCGCGATCGGTTCTCGGAACCTTTGCGTAGTGGACGCGCGCGCGCGAACCAATAGACATTGGACCTTGTGGCTCTATGCAGATAAAGGTAGATCAGGATTTTCGGCGTCAGCGTATTTTTACTGCTTTTTATTTCCGAACCGAAATTATGCGAATTTTTTGAAGAGCTTGAAACCGCTCGGTTTTTGCCCATCGGAATGTTGTTATTAGATTATGCGAGAGGAAAATTGTGCGCTACGTTTGCGAAGCGTTTTAATCAGATGGAAATAGTGCAATCGTATTTTAATACTCTTTTTTTGTGTTTTATTGTTGAATGTATTTGGGAATTGCGGTGCAATCGTTTTCAGGACGATTTTGGTGCAACGATGACAAAATGTGACTCGATTTTGTGGGGATGTTTTGAATTAATTTTTAGTTGTGTTTTCGTGGGAGATTTTTAATGCGATGCAGTTTAAATTGAAGCTTGAAGTGTCGGTTTTAAAAGCTGATAGATTATTTTAATTGAACGTCGCGAGAACATTCCAAAAATTCGAAAAATGGAGACCACTGTTTCGAAGGAAAATGACTCGATTTTAAGGGGAAATTTTGAACTAATTTTTAATTGTGTTCTCGTGGCAGTGTTTTAAATGCAATGTAGCTTAAATTAAAGCTTGAAGTGTCAGTTTAGAAACAGGGTCGATTATTTTATGAAACAACTACAAAGACATTTCGAACCATCGAATGGACCAAACTGTTGTCTCGAAGAAAAAAGACTTAATTTTATAGGGAAAGATTAAACCAATTTAAAGTTGCATTTTTATAGAACTTTTTAAATGCAATGTAGCTTAAAATTAAACTTGAAATGTGAGTTTTGAAACCTGTGGTATATTATTTTAAATGAATGTCACGAGAAAATTCAAAAAATCTGGTCTACTGTTTCGAAGGAAAATGTCTCGTCATTAAAGGAAAAATTTGAACTAATTTTAAGTTATATTCTTATAAAGCATTTTTAATGCAACTTAGCATAAACTAAAGCTTGAAATTCCATCTTTAAAACAGGATTAATTATTTTAAATGGGAATGGCGAGAACATTCCAAAAATGTGCAAAATCTAGACTACTGTTCCGCAGAAAAATGACTCGTTTTTAAAGGCAACTTTGACTCAATTTTGAGGTGTATTTTTATGAAGTATTTTTGATGCTACTTAGCTTAAACTGAAGCTTAAAATATCAGCTTTAAATCAGGGTAGATTACTTTAAATGAGAATTGCGAGAACATTCCAAAGATTCGCAAAATCTAGATTACTGTTTCGCAAAAGAATGGCTCGATTTGAAAGTCGAATTTACTCAATTTTAAGATATATTTTTATGAAGCATTTTTTATGAAACTCAGCTTAAACTAAAGCTTGAAATTCCAGCTTCAAAACAGTATCCTTTCGGTGGCGATACCTTTTCATCGTCGACAGTGACGACAGTTCTCATGGTGTCGGTGTCAGCGCCAGAGACTTTGTCCTTGTTGCGTTTGAAGAGCCTCGAGAAGCTGATTTTCGGTTTTCGTTCTCCACGAGATCCGTCAACTTCCGTTCTGGAGTACCTTCCGGCGCTTTCTGTGTCGCTCCTGCCAAAACAAAAGTATCTTTCAGCGAAACGCGCCGCCACCTTCTCAACGAATCGCAGTCGCGATCGTAGATGCTTTGAAACTCGAGAAAAGGAAATGCACGAAGTAAACACGATTCGCTCGAATATCGTCGCGACTGCGCGAAAAATTATTTAATATATATATAAATATATAAATTTATTTAAAATAAAAAAGAAAGGAATTTCAACATCTGAATCTAAATTTATTCGAATTTAAGCGATTCATTAAAATTGCAATTAATAGAAATAGACAATTTTTAAATATCGTGAAATATTAGTTAAGCAACAAAATCAAGGAATTATTTAAACAAAATCGCAAACCGAAGCAAACCGTATAATTAATGGACAATGAAAGAAGATTTTTCGCAGGGAAAGTGTTTGGCGACGTGCGACGGAAAGCGAAGCGGCGAAGCGATTAGCAAATTGATTAATTAAGCGAACCGAAATTATTGTTTCCACGAGCAAATTTCCTGACGCTGAAGAGCGAAAACAATAGCCGACGCCGATCGAACGAAATCGAATCGGTAGTCGAATTAAGACGTCACGATCACGCATGCAAAATCGTTATATTTTCTCGGGGCTTCTTTTTTCTCGAACGATTTCGCGACGGTAAAACCGGTCCGTTTCGAGGTTCCCACGATTATCGGTTACGACAAGGTTGATTAGACGTTTCAGCGGTCGTCGCGTGATATCACGGCTCGCGTTTTTTCCCCGCCGGCCGATTTTTCACCGCGAACATCGCGGCCCGACAATTTCAACGCGGTCAAGTGCACGCGATTTTTTTTTCTCTTGCACCGCCGAAGCGATCGCGCGACGACGATTGAAACGTTTCAACGAGTGAGCACCAATTTGCCGCGGAACGAGCAAGGCAACAAGCGAGAAGAGAAAGATTAAAAACGCGGCCAAAGAAACGGAGATTAATGGTAACGAAGACAGGTGTCGTATATGCACCAGTCACTGCATTAAATTCCCGCGCACGGACTGGCATTGTTTTGAATCACGCTCCGACACCGCGGCTTTTTCTCGCGCGGATCGGGATCCATTTGATTAGCATAACTCGAAGCCGCGATACGGTTGACGTCGCGTACGGAATAATTTCACCGGGGCACCGGTTAAGCGCGGTGACGTAGTTACGTTCTGGGAAAATAGATCGCCGCGTCGACGACTCTCGCGGACGATTTTTAAAGTTCAGCCGACGGTCGCAAGTTCAGATTAATTGTACGATTCTTGGGAAATCGGCGGAAAATGATTGGGCGACGAACGATGCAATGGAAGTGCTTGATTCGTTTGCTGTTGGGAATTCAGTTTTGTTGGAGTATGTTTGCGCAAACCTATTTTTAACAGGGTTTAAAAAATCGAGGAAATGGTTCCAGCAATGTATATCAATGTTTTATTTGCAGAAATGCTAGATTTAATTAATCTGGGTTTAGAAATTCAGATTTGTTGGTGTGGGTTTGCGCAAACAAATTTTTAATAGGGTTTAAAAAATCGAGGAAATAGTTCTAGTAATGTAAATCAATGTTTTATTTTCAGAAATGCTAGATTTAATTAATCTGGGTTTGGAAATTCAGTTTTGTTGGCGTGGGTTTGCGCAAACCAATTTTTAACAGGGTTTAAAAAATCGTGGAAATAGTTCTAGCAATGTATATCAATGTTTTATTTTCAGAAATGCTAGATTTAATTAATCTGGGTTTGGAAATTCAGTTTTGTTGGCGTGGGTTTGCGCAAACCAATTTTTAACAGGGTTTAAAAAATCGTGGAAATAGTTCTAGCAATGTATATCAATGTTTTATTTTCAGAAATGCTAGATTTAATTAATCTGGGTTTGGAAATTCAATTTTGTTGGGGTATGTTTGCGTAAACCAATTTTTACTAAGGTTTATGGACTGTTAAAAAATCGAAGGAATAATTCTAGCAATGAATATCAATATTTTATTCTCAGAAATGCTAAATTTAATTCATCTGGGTTTGGAAATTCAGTTTTGTTGGAGTATGTTTGCGCAAACTAATTTTTGCCAGGGCTTATGAACTGTTAAAAAGTCGAAGGAGTAGTTCTAGCAATGAATATCAATATTCTCATTTGATATATGCTAAATTTAATGATTCTAGATTCAGAAATTCATGTTTTCTGTCAGATATTTGCACAAACCAATTTTTGGTGGGTCTGTTTGACTGTTAATAAATCAGTGCAACAATTGTAGCAATGAATATCAATATTTTATCTTCAGGAATGCTAAATTTAATCAATTGAAGTTTAGAAATTCATGTTTGCTGTCACATGTTTGCACAAATCAATTTTTAATGGAATTGTTTGACTATAAAAAAAATAAAAAAACTAATTCTACCAATGAATATCAATATTGTAATTTCAGGACTACTAAATTTAATCAATCCAGATTAAAAAATTCACGATTGCTGCCACATGTTTGCACAAACCAATTTTGAATGGAACTGTTTGACTATAAAAAAAATAAAAAGAATAACTCTACTAATGAATATGAATGTTCTAATTTCAGGACTACTAAATTTAATCAGGCCAGATTAAAAAATTCACGTTTGCTGTCCCATGTTTGCACAAACCAATTTCTGCTAAGGCCTGTAAATTGTTGGAAAAGTTGACGAAAACGATTCTCTGGTTCGATGATCAACTATACGTTTTTCCATGAACTTCAAGCTCGTGGAACATGAACGATTAATTATAATTAATTAGTAGAAACACGAATAGCAACATCATAAAACATTAACACAATGCGAATCGAAGCCTGTGCGCGCAAGCTGGTTAAAATTTGACTCGGTATTTCCCATGATGATACAACGACGTTGACACCGATGAAAGCTTGATGGCATTCTTTTGATATTTTTTTTTTGTTCGAGAGAAAGAAGTAAAACAGGCTTGCCTTTGCGTATCGATATTGTCTGGGGTGTTTGATTTCTCATAACGAAGGAGACTAACACTCACTGCTGGCTCCGCATCGTCTCTGAAAATTCGTCAGCTGTGTGCAATAGACGAGTCGGAAACGAGTCTCGCTGGAATCGCACCCCCCTCCAAATTTTTTGCAGATTTTCGAGCAGATTTTGTAAAATATTTTTTAAATATTTTTGTACTTTTCTGTTTTTTTATTTTAGAAGGAATCGAATTCACGATTTCTTTCTTCATTTTTATTTGAACGTGAATTTTTATCAGAGTTTTGGATTTGCTGGCTGATCGATTTAATTTAATTTTTGTGAGTAGACTGTGAATTTTGGAGCAAAAGTGACATTTGTATATTTTTTGGAACTTTCTATTTTAAACTGTGACTATTTATAAATTTTTAGTTCCTTTGTTCTTCCTAGTATGTTAAATTGCATACATATTTTTACAAATATTCAATTTTTTAATATCTCTACTATTTTAATTTGCATGTATTTAATTTTAATCTCTCTATTATTTTTCTGTCTGTAATAATTTGACTAAATTGAAAATAATACATTAGTATGTTAAAATTTTTTTAATATTTCTACTCTTTTCTTTCTGTAATAATTTTACTAAATTAAAAATAATAAATTAATACTTTCAAATTTTTTAAATATTTCTACTCTTTTCTTTCTGTAATAATTTTACTAAATAAAAAACAATACATTAATACGTTAACATTTTTTAAATATTTCTACTCTTTCCTTGCTGTAACAATTTTACTAAATTACACAAAAATATATTAATATGTTAAAATTCACTCGATCTCTTCTCACTATTTCTTTTTTTTAATTAATAATTACTCGATCAGAAACGAATACGTTGAAATTCTAAAATTCTTTTAATTCTTCAAATCATTTGAAATTGCAACTACACGATTTTCCCACGAGTGCGTAAGTCCGATTATAAAAAGCGCTACCGTTAGACGCACAAGAAAATATCGGAGAATTTTATATTACTGGGAGACATCCGCGCCACGAAAATCAAAATTATTATTATTATTATTCCCCTATACTGTCCGCACGAAAAGATAATTCGCCAAGCTGCTCGATACTGTTCTACTGTGAAGCGCGCTGGCAGAGAAATAAGTGTATTAGTTACGGGACTCGGAGAAGAATAATCGTAACACCAATATGTATATAGTATAGTAGTGCAATGTGCTACCAGAGATCCACTACGAAAACACCTGGAGGAAAATGAACGTGTACTCACGACTCGCCGAGGTTTCTAGTTGTTGTGCTACCTGAAAAAAACGGCGAGAAAACAGAGGCCATCTTTAATCGTGCTGCTTAAAATTAGATTATAATTATTTAATAATATCAATAATTAATAGAAAATATAAAAGTAAATATTATAATTATTAGAAAATATGAAAGCAATATATTATATTAATTATAATTATAATATAATATTATAGTATATAATAATAATTATTATTATAATATTATATTATATATTAATTAATTATAATATAATATTATATTAATTATAATTATATTAATATTATATTAATATTTATAATAAAAATAAAAATAATATTTATATTAATATTTTATATTTATCGACATTTTCGAATTTTCGATCGCCATTGAAACGTAAGGATCAATGAATCGATGAAAATTAAATTAAATAGAAATTAAATACCAGAAATTGGGAGAACAAGATTTCGGTATGGAAGGTGGTGAAACGTCGGTAAGGCAGATTTCCTCGTGTACGTTCGTCTGTATTTAAAACAAATGTTTTATTTCAAAAATCATATAATACCTAAGTATAATATCATAGCGATGAATGAACTTACAGTTAATTACATACAGCTCTCTATATATTAACTTCATTTGAATTCTTAATTAGATTTACTCTTGCCTATTGCGTTTGTATCTACAAGTACAGATACAAAATGTTCATGTTCGTCTCGGTATTGGTTATCATCTTGTTCGTTTTATCCATCCGTCGTGTTCCCGTGTACATGCGCTCTCTCGCCTCTCTGTTTGTATGTACGTGTGTGCGCGTGTGTGCGCGCGCGCTTCTGTGCGCACATACGCGTATCGGTGTCCTGTCTAACGTGTGATGCATGTTCCTTGTGTTACATATGTATGTATTTATGTATCTCCTATTCCATCGAAATCGACCGTATAACATTGAAACCACCGGCTGTGCTCCGTTCGGTTCTCGCGATCCTTAAAATCACGCCTTCGCTTCTCGCGTCGCGATTTTCTTAAAATCGTATATTTATTATTAATTCTCGTTAAATCGTTTCTCGTAATCGGAGCGGCGGTCTCTGAAACGTTCTTAAAAAGTACTCGCGCGCGATGCTGTCCAATCATTGGGCCGCGTTACACAAGGGTTATTAAGGTCGGTGCGGAGACGCCGCTAGGATCTAGATCATCGCGATCGAAATCATCATGGTCGTCGCTAAGATCAAGGTCATCGTGATCGAGATCATCGTGATCATCGCCAAGATCAAGATCATCGTGATCATCGCCAAGATCAAGATCATCGTGATCAAAATAATCGTGATTGAGATTATTGTCAACGAGATCATCGTGATTGTCGCCAAAATCAAAATCATCATGATCGAGATCATTCTGGTCTAGATTATCGTGATCGAGATTATCGTGATCGAGATTATCGTAATCGAAATTATCGTGATCGAGATCATTGTGATCTAGATCATAGTGATCTAGATCGTCGTGATTGACATTATCGTGATCGTCGCCAAGATCAAGATCGTCATGATCGTCAACGTCGCCAAGATCAAGATCATCGTGATTAATATTATCATGATCGTCACCAAGATCGAGATCATTGCGATCAAAACCATAGTGATCAAGACCATCGTATTGAGATCATCATGATCAATATCATCGTGATCGTCGCCAAGATCAAGATCATCGTACTGAGGTCATCATGACCAAGATCATCATGACCAAGATCATCGCGACCAAGATCATCGCGACCGAGATCGTCGCGATCGACGAAACAAACGTCCGTGAACGAGAATGGAAAAGGAACGCGGGAAAATAAACGTTCCCTCCTCCCGCGTGAATTTCGCATAAAGGCTCGCATAAAACTGTCATCGATCTCGTGACAACTTTCTAAAAATGTTTCAGAGAACGCGCACACCGTCGTGTTCAGGTATCCGCGACACCGTCCCGTAGTCGTCGTTACGGTCGTTAATTTAATACCTAAACTTACGTTAACATAAATATACATATTATTAGCCTGGTAATAATACATATATAAATATTTATACTCCATTGTATGGCCAACGATCATGCTTCTTACAATATTACAATATTAACCGCCTTAAAGTGTTAGTAGAAGTTTTACAAAAATTTTCAACCCCGAGCCCGCCTTCCGCACTATACTTCATTTACAAACCGAATGCACAAAGAAGATGTGTGGAACCAACGGCGGCGATCCCGTGGATCTAGGATCCGATCGCTCGAACGAAACGCGTCACGTTCCTTGAGAGAACCTCGACGAGTTTTCTCGCGATTTCGCACGTTCGCTGGCCTCTATCATCGATCTCGATGAATTTGCGTGTCGGCGGGAAAACCGAAGCTGGAAAGTTGACATTTCTTTTTCGAAGCTGGAAAGTTGAAATACCTGATTCAATATCTGATCGAATACCTGATTAAATATTTAATCAAATACCTGATTAAATACTTGATCGAATACCTAGTTAAATACTTAAACGAATACTTGATTGGATACTTAAATACCTGATTGAATAATTAATCGAATACCTGATTGAATACTTAATCAAATACCTGATTGAATAATTAATCAAATACCAGATTGAATACTTAATCAAATATCTGATGAAATATTTAATTGAATACCTAATTGTATATTTAAACGAATACTTGATTGGGTACTGAAATACTTGATTGAATAATTAATCGAATACCCGATTGAGTAATTAATCAAATATTCGATTGAATACTTAACCAAAGATCTGATGACATACCTGATCAGATATCTAATTAAATATCTAATTAAACACCTACTATCCAATGAAATTCGTAATCAAATACATAATTAAATATGTAATCAAATATCTAATTCAGTACCCCCCTATATCCACTTTTTTTATCCAATTAAAAAAATAGTGCTCGTAATTAAAAAATAGTTCTCACAATTAACGCGACAGCGAACGTGCGAATAGCGCGCGTTTCGATGTTTAGTCACTCGCCAGCATGATCATCGCGTATAAATTAATTATCGATTAGCATTAGAATCAATCATAGAAATCAGTTACGAAATAAGTGGCTTAACATTATTCAAAACTGTACCGCAAGCAATTTCTGTGTTCTCTTTTCTTCTTTTTTTTTCTTTTTTGTACATTAACGCGTAATATCCATAAAACTCCCCGTAAATCGATTATCGTATCGATGCTTCGTCGCGGTGGCCGCCTGTGCAGGCTGGACGGTGCCGACATGGCGTTGAGATTTTTTCGATCGATCGATTCAGAACGCTATCGATTCGATCAGTCGGCGATTCTGATCTTTCCGCCGGAGACAGGTCTCTCTGCGAGAATGCCGTTGCAATAATTGACGATCGTAACATGATTTTCGCGCATGGCAGTGGTCGCCGACACGGGTCCATAATTCATGAAACCTGTTCGAGCTGTTCGTAATAATAATAGAAAAGTGGTAATATAAAAAGTCTGCGCAGTATCGAACAAACTAGATTACTATAGAACGCTAGAAGATTCCTGTCGAGGTTATGATTCCCCAGGCGATTTGGAACAACTTTTTCCTTTACGAAAATCTTCTACGTGGTTTCGTTCACGAGTTATCGAAGAGAACAACGGGCCAATCGGAGGGCCGGTACCGTCCGCGCGGTAGCAAGCGCGGCACCGCAGTATCGTCGTGGGCGGGGCGCCAGCCGCACTCGTCCTCCGATTGGTCAGCGTTCTCGCTTGAATATCTCGTCAACGAAGCGACGGAGAACATTTTCGCAAAGGAAAAAGTTTCTGCGAATCACTTCAGGAATCGTTTGGTTTGATTAGATCATTCGCGTGAGATGCAACGAGCACATACGGTCGCGGGTTCTCTAGGCAGTCGGTTCTGTATTTTAAATTAGTATAAAAATGGCAGGAGATTCAAGAAAACATCGCGAAATAAAATTGTGCAAAGTGCTGGACCATAGGGGGGGCAGTGAGCCGGCCCTGGCCTCCGGCATCGCATAATCGCGTCCAGCCAGCTGCAATCGGTTTTCCACACGCGACGCGTTCCGCACCGCGAACACGATACAAAGTACTTAATTGGCAACATACATCCACGTAATCGATCCTCTTAATATCTCCTTAATATCCATCTATAGTTATTTCTCGTCTCTCCTCTCGCCACCCTTCCCCCCGCTTAGAACGTCTCAAATCACACTGAAGTGTAACCCTATTTTACTCTGCCCGATAATAATTAGTCTTCCTCTCAAAAATTTCACGGATAACGACAGGTCGCACGGCAATTGGAGTGCAAAATGGATAAATAAGTATTCAGTTAATATTCACGAAGTTGCAAGCCAAGTGCCCCCCGACACAGAATATATATATATATATTTATATATTTATATTCATTACTATTATTCAATCTCGTACTATATTTATATTTTTATATATATATATTTATTTATATATATATATATTTAATATATACAACACGCAGTAATTCAGATCGTCTTCCACCCGACGAGCTCCCATTCGAATATTTTCTTAATTCGATACTTTCTGCCGTGCCGGTACAAGCGAGAGCGTCGTCGAGCGATCCCTGACGATCCGAGCCGAATCGACGGGAATCGGATCGAGATCTCGGGGAACTCGCCGGACGGGACGATCCATCTTTGTAAGTGAAAACACGATCGCATATGGAAAAAGTGAAGGAGTGTATGTGCAGAATTCGGAAATGTTTCGTCGAGTGACGGACGCACGGGGATCGATGATCGATCGATCGATCTTGCGTCTCGTACGTCTGTCGTCGTCCAGCTCGTCTCCCTTATCCACCGAACAGACAATTCTCTTACAAGATTCGATTCGATAGTCTTTCGTACGACGCCGTGGTAATCCACGTTCGTGAACTGCTTCATTCTCTTTCTTTCTTTGTTCGCCGTGTGTCGATTATCCTGCGTGGCTGTGTCTTCTTCTGTGTATATGTGTGTGTATCTCAGGTTTCGTTTAGTTTCGTTCCGCGAGGACTCGGCTAAGCAAAGATCACCCGTACAAAAGTACAAACAACACTT